AACAATTCAGGCTTCTAACCGTACAATAGGCAATTAGTTTGAATAATTGGGTGTAACTGTAGGCAGAGAGAAGCTACAAGACCAGATGTGCATATAAAGCTAAACATGGGCTTTACAGGATCTAATCAAATCACTCCACCATCTGGAATGAGAAGAAGTATCATGTGACAGACCTGATCAATATGTGAAAACGGTACAAATTTCTGGATAATGAGCTTAAGCTAAATCAATATGTCACATGAGTCAGAAATGGAAGCATCCATAAAATGGATTGCACTAGTGCAACTAAATCACATCTGATTTTACTACATTAATGCCATTTTCTTCTACAAACTGACCTTAGGTGGCCTATCACAAATTCCAAGCTGAGTGTATCAGAAACCTGCACTCGCAGGTAGAAATAGCTCATAGCACACTCAGGTTCATATGTGCACTTCTATCCAGACAATATAAATCCTACCTATCAAACAACTCTTCCAAGCAGTTGGTGTTAAAACCCTCCAGGAAGGTTGTGTTTAAGTCAGAGCTGCAGAAGAATGGATCCTAATTCATTGGAGCTACCTTGGGAGCAGGAGCTGCAGCAAGGGCTGGAAACAGAGGAAATGGTAAAGCCAAGAGCACAGAGCTGGCCCGCTGCTCATGGGCTGAGCTCAGGACTCTGGTGGTTTGGAAACCCTGGGCTGGGGTATATATAACCCCAGATGGGCTTGACTTTGCAGTGTCAGCTGGAAAATATCACACCAGCAAGCAAAGCCCTTGCTGAGCTCCTGGGTTCCACTGGGTTCTGGTGGTTCTGGGCTGTCCATGCTTAGGTTTGCAGTTTGCTGTGGGATGAGGGCTGCACAGCAAGGAGGGGAGGTCTGGATATCTCATCTCCCAGGACAAAGCACCCCTCAGTCAGCAGCTCTGACAGCAGGGGATGGGGCTCAGCCACAGAGTGCCCCTTCCATCTTCCACTGCTGCCAGGACACCTTGGGCTGTCCTGTGGGCTCACACCTTCCTGCACTGGAGTGAGGCAAACCGGCAGCCAAAGTCAGTCCAGCTCAACCAAAAGCAGAAGTTGCTGTTGCTCCAGGACACCATGACATTCTGAGTGGTGACACAAATTGGGCTGCCCCCTCTTTCCCCTCCATTTCGTGCTGCATCCCTGGTACCAGCCTGGACATGCTGCAGACAACTGCACCAAGGCAGGGAGGGAGAGGGCAGAGCCTCCAGGAGGTGACAATGACTTTATGTAATCTATGGGGTTAAGCTTTTGGTGCAAAGCTTCACTGACTTAGCAACATGTGAGTGTGTTTGTGGGTTTACAGATTTACTCCAGTGCTCCAGCAGACCATCTTCCCCTTCTGCTGCTTCTCTGGAAATAGTTCAAGTCAGTGTGTTGTGCACATAATCGGTACTGGCTTTCCCAGCCTCCAGAAATCATATTAAAAAGATAGACAAAATCTAGAGGTGTCACCAAACCAACAGGGAGAGGGACTTTTCTGGCCTAAAGTGACAGGAGTTGGGGGAGACCATGTGGCTACTCCAGCTGAGTTTTCCACACATGCATTTTGTTTATGGTCTCTGTGTGCAAAATATGCCAGAAAAAACAAGCTCTCAGGGGAGTTAGGAATCTGTCCAGCATGTGGCAAACCCCCTCTTCATCTGTCCTGCTGCCATGCCAGGGGTCTTTCTCCACAAGGCATTTCTGCAGCAGGAGTCGACTGAGGTAAAAAGAGGTATCTAAGCATCATCAGCCCACAAACAGAAGCTCAAAAGTATCCTCAAACATCCCACGGGTGTTGAAAGCCAATCTGGTGCTCAATGTGAAGGGAGGGACACCTTGAGCCCCATGGGTTGAGTGACTTCGTGGCTTGCTGTGCCTCGCTGGAGCTGGTGGCAGGGATTTTTTGGTTTTTTTTTTGTCTAAATCTAACAGTCCTGCATGTCACCATGGAGTCCAGCCCCCTTTCACGGGGGGATGTTAGAGTAAATACACATTTCAACACTCCCTCAGCTCACCTCACAGTCCCAATAACAACAGTGCAATATTTTAAACTGCTTTTGCAAGTCTCCTTTCTACAGGGCAGTTGAAAAGATATAAAAGCGTTTTAACAATTTTATAGATCATCTCCGGAGCGCTTTTGTGATGTGGGAGAACGGGAGTTTTGTTGCCATTTGCCCATGGACAGCTGCCAAGCTCACCTGTCTCCACCGAGCCAGCGAGGGCCATATCACATCTCTCTGGAAACTCTGCAGCCAGCTCTGGATGGCTTCTCACTTTACTCCTCTGAAAAACACATTGCTCTGTTTAACCCTTTCTCAGCACTTGCCTGGGGGTGTTGCTCAAAACAGGCAACTTCTGTATGGGCCATGGGAAACTCAGAGCTGTGAGGGGGATTTGGAGAAACCTGAAACCAGGACCCTTCTGTAGAAAAAACCTTCACCCACGTGAAAATTCCTCTAACCCTGCAAGTCATCCTACTGACTTCAGGCCAAGTGTGCACAGCTCTTCTTTTGCCACTCCCTGATCAGAATTAACCAGCCTCCAAATATGACCCTTCTTTAAAAACCTCCAATTCGACAAGGTGCTGACTACATCTACCTATGGGCCACTTAATTTTGCAGGGTCCTGCTTCTAATCTCAAAAATTATCATGAAAACCCTCCCAAGTGTGGTTGACACAGGAGAACTTTGCAGTTTTGTTTGCTGGTGCTCAGGAAATATTTACTGATCCTCATGTGGAAGGTGTGACAAAAGTGTAGTGTAATCTATTCCCCTGTGTAAGGATTTCTCAGTTTCCATCCCTACAAATGAATATTCTCCATCCTCCTCTTCTCCTGGAAAGAAAAGTGCATAAAATTATTCCTTGTCACATTCTTTCACTGAGTTGGCAAAATGCAGTGAAATACAGTTTAAATGATACGGAATATGCAGACATAGCTTATCTAAGATAAAGCGTGCAGATCAAAATCAAAAAAGCCTCACAAAAGAAAGCCCCAAAAGAGCTTTCATCTGCCTGATCCCATTTCCCTGCCTACACTTCTTTTTACTCTATTGCAATACATTAGTTCTGCTTTAGTTTCTGCTCTGCAGCAACATTTCTGCTTAAGAAAGATTCTGTTGAGTCATTACCAGCATCAGCCAAACAGGCTTTTCAAGAATGGAGGAGAAAATAAAGGCTGTGGTTTTTAAATTAATTCCATGCTGCTTAACCCTTAAACCACTAGTGACTTTCAGACTCTCAGCCAAGTCAATGCTGAGCAGAATTTGGGGCTGCTGTGCCTGAGACAGAGCAATGTCAGTGTTTTTGTCAATGATTGACTGCTCAGATACTGCTGGCCATGCACCTGGAAGGCAGAAATTGTAGTGAAGGTCTCTGCTATCCAACCCACATCCTAAACACTCCCTTCTTGCTTGTAAACACTCTCTCAGATAACCCAGACCCACATCCTAACAGAGGCAGGGAGAAGGGCTTTTCTACCAGAAGCTAGCAGTTGTAACTACAGGAAAGGAAGAGAAACCGGCACGTCTCTCCCTCTGTAATGTAGCAGAGATTCTCTACTCCTTCCCCCAGCAGGTTGTATTTAGGAGAGAACAGTGGTTGCCAAAAAGATAGAACTTGAATAAGCTCCTGGTACCTTGAGGTTTGAGGGGCCCCCAGGGGAGCCAACACTTGGAGTGAGAAGAGACAGAAGAGGCGAAAGCGGATAAGGTGATTTTCCTTGCCTGGGTTTTTAAAGCAATCTCAGCCTGCTAAGCTTTCAATCCATGCTGCCAATGGCTATTTCCAAAGTTATCTTCACACAGAGAAAGGCTGGAATCTTTCTCTCATTCTCTCTGCCTCCCTTTTTAATGAAAGCTCAGTTTAGATCTGATATCACTCTAAAAGGTTTGCTATCAAAGTTTATTAGACCCACTGGGACAGATCACAGTTTGCAGAGGCTCACAGTTTCACAGCAGATAACTGTAAAGTGAACTATTCAATGTTCTTCAAAATGCTCATTTTCCTTGGGCTCATCCATAACACAAAGCTGCACTGTGTTCAAGCATCATTAGAAGTGATCCCAGCTGATTACATGATGCTGCCCATAGTTCTGCCTTTGGAGCAAAGTCAAGCAGCCCCCAGCCCCCAGCCTGTCCCACTGGGTGATGCTGAGGCAAGTGGGAGCCATTTGCAGTGAAGGCAAGCCCTACCAACACAAGGGAATAATGCCTGCTATGTGCTCCCAAAAAAAATCAGAACATAAAAATTACTAGGAAGCATGAGTGCAGCTTCCCTTTAAAAATCCGTATTTGTCTTTCCCTGCTTAATGATGATGATGATGATGATAATAATAATAATAATAATAATGAAAGACTCCTCTACCTACGGTCTACAGCTGAGAAATTTCAGCTAGAAAGCAAGGAAACGAGAGAAGGAACTAGTATGTCTTCCTATAGAATGGCTGTTCTTTTTTTTTTTTTTTGTAGTGAAGTCATTGGTGATATTATGTGGTTTTTAGTAGGTTAGCCTAAAAATGCATGGGAATAAACACCATATCTGGTAGGATCTCTGACTGTAACATGTATCACTGAGGTATCTATTTACAGTGAGAAGGGAGGGGAGGCTGTTTCATTTCCCAGGACAGTAATGGAAAGCATGATGTCCTACAACCAAGGGTGGTGAAGCCTGGGAGAGGTACTGGGAAAAAAACATTCACAATAAACCAAAGAGTGAAGGAGAGTCCCAGGGCAGATGTTTGCAGGATGCATCATCTTCTATCCTGGGAAAAGGCTGAGAGACAAAATGGTTGAATTGAGTCCTTGGGCCAGCAATGTCCTGTCCTTCTGCTGCAATTTCCCCATGACTTTGCAGTGTCATCTGGTCTAGAGCTGGACAAAACTCAGAGATTGGGTGGTTCTCAGATGCCCATGCTCCCTGCCAGGCTTTTTCCTTGCTTTTGGCCTCGGAATGCCTCTCACCAGAAGCATTTGCCACCATCTGACAGCTCTTCTGCTCTCTGATTCCTTAACAGGTCGTGCAGATGGACCAGAAGCTGGATGACATCCTGAGCACGCTGCAGGCTCAGCTGGGGGATCAGCCCCAGGCACAGATGCCAGGGCCAGCCACCCCACCTGTCAGACATGCACAGAGTCTCCCCCAGTGAAGCAGAAAATGTGAAAGCCAGTGGACAGCTACATGTGACCCTCTCGCTCTTTCACGTCCATGTATTTCTCAGCCTTGGTGTCTTCAGCTGTGCCGTGGGTGAAATGAAATATTCTGCAGTAGTAGATTAATGAGGAAAAAAAATAGGGGTAAAAAAATAAGGAAAAAAAAATAAAAGAAAAAATAAAAAGAGAACAAACAGCAAAAAGCCAGACACAACCTTATGAGAGCACATAAGTTTTGCACCTGTTTTATTTTAGCCATCGTTAGCTGAACTCTGCCAGCCTGCAGCAGCCCAGTTCCCATCCCCCCAGCCCCATTCGGGCTGAGCACACAGGCACAGGGCACGCTGTCGAGGGAAGCATCCCAGCCAGGGTTAGGATGACCCATTTGTGGGCACGGAAGGGGAAAAGAACTGTTCTTTTGGCATTTAATCGCTAAGTTTAATGCTCACAGCATGCCCGAAAGGGGGAAAGGAGCCAGCATTTGAACATGAAACAAATGGAAATCAGTGAACAGGAAAATTAAACAGCATGTTTTGACTTCTACCAAGCAGTGAGGATCATAAGAAGGGCAGATTTATATGCTAGTGCGAATGACAAAGTAAAGACAACAGGCTACTGATTAAAAATATGGAAGTGTACACAGGCTGGTTGACATATGAAAAGCTGAAGCAGAGACTTCAGCTAATTAAAGCCAAGGGTTGCCAGTGAGATGAGATGCATGTTGGAACAGACAGGCAGGAGAGATAGGATCTGCGTAGGCTTACTTCACCAGAACACTGTAATAGCTATCAGCTACGCTGATGACTGTTATGCAAAATGTTCTCCAGCTTTTACCTTCATTCAGCAGCGGTTGTTGACTCCAGTTGCCTTAATTTTAACATAAGAAACCTGTATGGTAATTGGCTGTGAACTATCTGTGAAGCTGGGTTCAAGAAGCAGGGTGCTGCAGGAGGGCTGCAGCTGTGATTGAGTGGCAGGGCTTCTTAAAGAAAACAGAAATGCACGCACAGTTGATGAAAGTTAATCGCTGTTTAAATAAACTGCTGTATATAATTTTAAATGCTAGATTTATTTTTTGCCTTGTAATCTGGCTGTAAATCGAGTGCACATGCTGGCTGATGGGCTGTTGTTGAGGAACACATCTGGTGCAGGTAGCTGGGCTCGCAAGCTGCAGATGGAAATGCAGGCTGAGCTGCAGATTTAAATGCAGATTGAAATACAGGTTGAGCTCTGGGTGGGAGCCGACCTTTGGGATGACAAAGGACAAAAAGGCGGGTGACACCCAGCCAGGTGAATGAGACACACACTGAGACACAGCAGCAGCCGCCGGGAATTGCCGAACTTTTGGACAACAAAGGAGATGAAAAGAATGATGGCAGCGAGGTGGATGGACACGGAGATAGGGCAGGAGCCGAAGACTCGGGACGAAGAGCGAGACTGGCCACGGGGAGAAAGTGATGGGATAAAATCCCAGGGGTTCCTTTGCCGGGTCCCTCCCTGGAGGCACCAGCTGGGGCTGTTGCTGTGTCACTGCCCCAGCAATAAATGGATTTATGGAATGAGCTCTCTGGGACTCTGCCACCTCTGCCATGGCAAAGCTGGTGTGATGTGAGTGGGGTGTGTGGGGAGCCAGGCAGGGACCCCTCGGTCACTGGAGCCAAGGAAGGGCCTTTGGTCCCAGAAAGTCTCTGACCTTGGGAGTGGCACTGCCAGAGAGCCTCGGGAATGGCCTGAATGGGGAGTTCCCTTCCCAGTGCCACCCTGAAATGGATCTCACCTGGCACTTCAGAAAAGGGACCATACAGCACTGCTGCTAAAGACCTAAATAGTAAACCAAGCTAAAATGGGTGCAGTGTTACTTACTTGAGTCTTTTCATATATTTGCATAACCAACAATTTGAATGAGCAGAAGACTGCAGAGCAAAGACCTGATTCCTGGGAAATCCTAAATATATTCTATTCCCACTCATATCCATGAAAGCCAAGCCTGCATTGCATTTAAAAGCAACCTGAAAGACTGGTCCCTTAATAAGCATTTATTTGGACAAATGAGTGGTCCATTTCAATGTAATCAAATTAGTTTCTAACTATTACCTGTCCCTTTAAAACTCTTTCCCAGGTTTGTGTGTCTGGGAATTCAAGCTTGGAAAGAGCACAATGAGACTGATTCCAATCTTTAGATTGCAGGCGCGTCTTAGACAGAATATTAATGATGTGTGAGAGGCAATAAAAAAAAAAAAGAAACAATGTGGTTTTAATTAAATCAGCTGACAAGCCGCCGTTCCATCTTGTCTGATTACTACAGAGTTACTGAACATGACCAAATACAGCATGTAACATGGGAAAAACAGTAAATAATCATTGCCAGAGCATTGGGTTGCTCCTGGCTTTCAGTCAGAGTCATGAGTTTCTGTAATGGTCCTTCATAAAACCTCCCTGGCTCTGGCCAGCCAGAGCTAAATGGGCAACTGGACACCAAATTAGGGTTAACACCGTTTTGTCAGGCACAGGTAAAAGAAAATAAATCTGCCTGGAGGTCCCTTTGCCACAGAGGGACAAGGAGCAGTGCAGCTTTGAGCAGAAGAGCTCAGGGACAGCTGTGGCCAACACAAGCTGACACTTCCTTCTGCAACACTGCAGATATTTGTGTGAGGGATATCCTGATCACTTGGTGGACCAAGTAATGCAACAGTGTTTTACTTACTATTCAGCCTCAACAGAAGTGTTTAGGCACTATATATATAGCAACACCTACTACTCTGAAGTGCCTGGAAAATCCAGCTAAATAGAATACAAGTGGTCACAGCTAGGGTGAGTGTCAGAAGGGATGAGTGGGTGGGAGGAAAAGATAAAGAGGCATGCAGTGGTCCCTCCAGAAATACAGTGTGTGCTAGAGTGTCTGTATGCATGTGTGTGTGTGTGTGTGTGTGTGTGTGCACATTTTAAACTCACAGCAGGGTTTCCCCAGCAAGTCTTAAGGGAGGCCAGAGCCTGAACCTTCAGAAGTTTTAAAATCCAGCAGTGCTGGCCATACAACCCCTTTAGAGCTGGCACTGTGGACACCACAGTGTGGCAGGACCTGTGACCAGCACACTTCCTATTGCTAGAATAGAGAGATGAGGATGTGGCTTGAGCAAATTGCAGGGAGGAAGGAAGAAGCCTGGTGGGAGACACCCATTTTCACACCATATGAAGAGACTAATGGTAAAAAAATTCAAGCAACATAGACTAGCCATACTTAAGAAAATCTCCACACCCACAGCTAAGACAAAAGTTGTCATCCAGCAAAATATTTCTGATTGCCCAGGGGGAAAACTACACAGAATTAGCACTGATTAGCACCACGTGGTGACACTTCCTGACCCGTCTGAGCAAAGATAGTTTGGTAGAGGTATATAAACTGAATATTAATACATTTGCACTTGGCCTTGTTGAACTCCATGTGGCTCTCATGGGCCCACTTCTCCAGGTCCCTCTGGATGGCATCCCTTCCCTCAAGCCCATCCATGCCTGGCTCAGCTTGCTGTCACCTGCAAACCTGCTAAGGGGGCACTCCATCCCACAGGCTGGGGCACTGAGGAAGATATTAAATAGTGTTTTTCCAAGCACAGACCCTGAGGCACATCACTCATTGTTGGTTCCCATTGATCTGTAAACTGAAACTCTTTGGATGCAACCATCCAGACAATTCCTTATCCATCTAACTTTCCATCCATACCTCAATTCTGAACTAACAATGTCAAGGGAGAGTCTATCAAAGGCCTTAAAGAAGTCCAGGTAGCTGATCTCAGTTGTCACTGTTGTAGAAGGTAAGTAAATACATCAGGCATGACTGCACTTGCTGAAGTCGTGTTCAGTCTCATTAATCTCCTCCTTGTCTTCCATATAATTCAGCAGGAGTTCTAGAAGGATCTGTTCCATGATCTTATTGGATACTAAGGTGACTGGTCAGCAGTCCCAGGGTCCTGCTTGTTCCCCCTTGTAAAAACACATGCACTACCATGTGTTCGTCCCCCTTTGGCAGCAGCCCTAACACAAGCTAAAATTACAGAAAGCATTCCCAGGGAAGTCCATGTGTGTGTTTTCATCTCCATTTGTACTGACACTGGTTCACTGGTGTTCACCCTATTCATTTGTGCTGGATGGGAGTGCAGCTGCTGAGCAGGGAGCACTCACCAAGGTCACTCCTACAGCAGCTCCCCTTGCTCCAGTGAAAGGGTGACAATGCCATGAGTGGGCACGGCCCATGAAGTTGTCAGCAGTGTGCAGCCACGTCTGCAATGGTCCCACGTTGCCTTTTGACTCAGAACAGAGGCACAGCCCAGGCAGTCAAGGTCTCCCAAGGCCACAAGATCAGCAGGGGCAGCTGTCAGGAGTGCAGTTCACCAGTGCATCAAAAGACAAGAGTGCAGGAGATCAAGTAAAGATGAGATACATTTTTTTTCCAAAAGATCACATAGTTTTCTAGCTGATCCAATTTCACTGTGGAAGATACATGATGTCCTCCCTTACCAGAGACATTGACACCAACCCAAACAAGATTTTCCACATTCCTTCTAATAATGCATGGCATCCTGAAGTCTGCTGTCTGCCTGTGATGATGCAAGATGCTCAGAAGTCAGTACAACAAAGCCCGAGGGGATTATTTTCTCATTTCCATAACTACACAGTCAGTAATAATATCAGGAACCAATCTTATCCCAAAACGTGTACTCAGATCTTTAATGATGATATTTCTTAAGTGATGTGTACTCAGATCTTTAATGGTGATATTTCTTAAGTGTGTGGGATTAAACACATGTGTATGATAAGGCCAGAGCAGTGAGGGAGATAAAAAGTTCAACTTCCATCAGCTGGAGGCTTTCATTCCTGAGAAAAGAAATGTAACTATGCCCCCAGAACAGATGATATGGGTGACAGATCACAAATCTGATGCCTCATCTGGAACACTCTCCTCATCTCTGGAGAGTACAAAGTGAGAAAAGACTCTCCAGACATGGTTGTCCATTCCAGAAGCGAGCCTGTCCAGCAGCCCTGGATGTTTTCCATCCAACTGCCTTGATGTGGTATCCCAGAGGAACCTGTGCTGGAAGTGCCTCCAATCTCTGGAGG